TATATATATTATTATATTATTATTCATTTAATTAAATTTAATTTGTGGTATTACTATTCCAGCAGCTGTATAAAGCTAGCAGGTCAAATCAGCAAAATCAAATCGGATCTATCGGAATTTTTAGTACTCATTTTGTACTAAATTGTATCATTAATACTTTCATATATGTATGCCATTTAAAAAAAAATCGCGTTGCTAGCTTAATATTAAGCTGGAATTCAAAATGGAAGAAAAAAAAGAAATAATAGAAATCAATACGATTGGATTTATACTATTTTATACTGCCAAAAACAATTCTATACTATGTGTCATTTCCAAGAAAACAGTGGCGCTAATAGTTTAATATTTAAGCTGGCAGGGCCGTAAAAAAACAACACAAGGTAAAAATTAACTCATCAATTTCAAAATTTTATAAAAATATCATCACAATTACCATTTCAATTTTGACTTTCTTATACTTCCATTATTTATTTCTTATACTTCAATTATACTTTCAATTATATTTTCAGGGTTATTTTATAATTGAAATGGTAATTATGATGATATTTTTACAAAATTTTGAACTTGGTTGATGTTGAAAAATGTTGATAAAAATTGTAAATAAATGGAAAATGATTTATTTATATGAAAATGATAAATTAAAAATAATCCATCCATAGAACACACACTTTAAGATCTTTAAAATCGAATTTTTAATCTCAAAAAATTTTGCATTTTTTTTTGTGTAACTAATGGTTTCAACGATATAATAATTTGATTGTTCGCATAAGCGACGTTTTTTATAAATTTATAGAACTTACGAGAATCAATAACTTCATAAAAACAATCTCACATTTTTTTTTGCGAAACGTGTCCCATATTTTTATCTATAGAATAGGTATGTTAGCAAATTTAAAAAAAAAATAAAATAACGAAGTCATTTTTAAAGGTTGCCCGATTTGATGTGAAATGCTTCATAAATTATAAATATTACATATACTAATAAAATTATTTAAGGAGAGAACATATAAAATATGAACTTACTTTCAATGGTATATACAAATTCAGTTGTGTTAATTTTTGTCCTGTGTTAGTTTTTTTATGCCAGCTTAAATATTAAACTAATCACTGTATATAATTATAAATAATGTATAATATTAAAGTATCACTGTTTTCTCGGAAATGACACATAATATAGAAGTTTTTGGCAATAATATAAAATAGTACAAAAATAGTACAAAAATAGTACAAAAATAGTATAAAAGTAAATAGTATAATAGTACCAATTCAATCGTATTAATTTCTGATATTATTTTTTATTTTTTTTTTTTTTTTTTATTTGGAATTGATTCTGTCAGCTTAATATTAAGCCAGTAGCGCTACGATTTTTTTCAAAATGACATATAACGGTATAAAATCATTATTAATGATATAATTTAGTACAAAATAAGTTAAAAATTCCGATAGGTCCAATTTTTGCTGATTTGGTCCTACTAGTTTTATAGAGTTTATTCCAGCTTCAGTTTAGGACTATGCTTCAACACCGGCGTATATGTATTCGGCGCACAGTTTGAAGAACTGAAAAATGTATTTAATATAATTCATATAGAGAGAAATGTTAGGCATCAAGATCCTGCCTTAACTGTATTTGGCGCTCCTTTATTTGTTTGTTATTCATATAAGCGATCTTATAATTTAACTTATTTAATTGGATAGCTCTAAATTTTAGGGATTTTGGACAAATTCCCTGATTGATTTCATCGATGTTGGATAATCTTTTTCATTTGAAATGATTTTTATATGGTACAAAATTCTCTCTCTTATAACTCAAAGCACTTTACGTATTTCGCGCCATAGGAAATAACTGCAAATTTCCTTTAAATGAACTTAACTAAAATTTAAAAGGCCATTTAAAGATCGACAAAAACGCGCTCAATTTCTCTGATTGTACGATCGTATTCAGTACACCAGGTGTAGACATCCTGGTTGTGGTTCCGAGCAATCGCGGTTAATCGATCATCAGCGACACGTCTAGCAAGACGAATGGACGAGCGTGAGAGAGAGAGAGAGAGAGAGAGAGAGAGAGAGAGAGAGAGAGGGGGGGGGGAATGGGTGGAAAAACCTCCCTGTTGAAAAGACGGGGAAGGAAAGATGCGTGATCCAAAAGAAAATGTTTACATTCCAGGTCACCTGATTACACGAAAGGCATCTTCCAGAGCATCGGCTTCAAAGAGTTTCACACTTACCTCATATTACCTGAAAAGGAACGCGCAAGCGAAAAGGTAAACAACGAGCATGAAAAGATTTGTCGATACAAGCTATCGTCTGCGATTATCATTCGCCTCAGCAGCTGTTTCAGCTGGGATTCTCAGTTATTTTCTGCTGTTAAAATGCACTGCGCGATTTGCAATGTAATCTACCTTGCGGTCATATATCGCGATATCTTTGCCTACGTTGTTTTTATTTCTTTCTACATCTATTCACGCAATACTCACTGTACATCGCAGATTTTTACAAGCTTTTCCGATTTTAATATCGCGAGAATTATCAAAAGCTGTTGATCTCGACGATTCGAGATTGCATCTCTTGTACAATTATAAAGGAAGAAGAATAAGGAATAAGGCGCAGGTACAGAAGATTATCGAAGATCGATTTTAATGAAAGTTGAATAATAGACAACTATTATTACTATTTTATAATAGATTCTATTTAGCAGGATTATTTAATTAAAATAAATTTGTCTATTATTACATTATTCTTAAATTAAATTGTCTGTTATTAAATGTACTACTTAATAATCTATTTAATAATAAACAATTTATTTTACATTTTGAATACAATGGTGTCTTATGTTAGCATTTTAATTTTTATTTAAATTTCCGTTCACATAATTTTTTTTATTATTTTGCATCACATAATAAAATTATTATATCTATAAAATCGACGAACAAAAGAAAAGAATTATACTGTTGTGCAATAGTTTGCTTTACGTTTGAGAGAAAATTAATAATTAATTTTTAAACGAAAGATCGATATCTTTTAAATTAAATTTATGCAGGGGAAAAAATTACTGCAACAAGGAATCGATGATTTAAAACTCGCTACTAGGAGGTACGCAAAGAGACAAGATAAATGGGTGATGAACAGACTGATTCGGCGTGGTGATCGACAGGTAATTCATTTATTTATCTCGCCTCATCATTAATATATATGTTCATATTGTAATAATAATAGCAATTTAATTGAAATAATTCAATTCATTTTCGCTGCTAATTTTCTTCCCACGAAATGCATAAGTAACTAAATTGAGTAAAGTATCAAATTGATTAAAGTATTAAATAATTTATACGACTGCTCTGCTTTTTTCGAGGTTCCTCCTGTTTATTCTTTAGATTGCACCGACGTGACAAAATGGGACAGTCACGTTTTAGAACCTGCAGCAGCAATCATTTCCGCAATATTGCACGATGCAAAACCTGAACAACAACCACTAAATGAGAATTTCGAGAATCAAAAGACTACTGATAGTAGTACAAATATATATAATTATTGCAAGGTAATAACAAAGATTTGGTCATAATTGATTACTCTCTCTAATACACTATAGATATATAATTTTTTAAATATTATATTTTCATAACATCAGTTTCGTGAAGAGTTCTTTTAGCGCTTGACTCTCAGAAAATTACATTATGCAAACAATATAAAAATTTAATTATGAAGAGACACAACAGTTTTTCGGTGCTAAGCACAACGTATCGCGAACAACACGAGACTGGTCGTATCATTATACGAGTCGGCAAGTTGCAAGCACCCGAGATTATCGTTTATTTAAATTTACTTATTAATTTTTAGATAAGCGGAAATTGCAAATCAAGTTTTGTTAATATTTTTCAACAAAATTCTGTCAATGCTTTTCAATTTCAAAATAAGATTTTTTTGTTTGTTAGGTATGTGAAAGAGTGTTTGTCGAAGAACATCAATGGCAAGCCCATTTGAAAGGCGGAAAACATATGAAAACCTTAAAAAAGAAGAAAAAAATCGCTGAAGATACACATTCTAGGAACGTCAACTGACTTGTACATGACAAATATCAGTTTCGCTATGACATTGCACGAACATTCGTTTCTGCGTTTATACCAAGCCATTAAAACTGTGATTGTCCACATTCTATTTTATTAATAATTACCATGTAGATAATTTAAAAAAAATAAAATTTTCTCTTAATATGTTGAAGCCTTATTACCATCTGTAAGCAAATAGGAATTAACATTATTAGCAGTAACTTATTCGCTTATTAGCTATCGATAAAACAGATTTTTACCATATCTAGTTAATAGTTTACTTTTTGATGATATTTGCAAACCGATAGTAATTATTTGACACAAAATGCGTATATCTAAAAAGATTTCAAATATATTTTCATTTAAAACATCTTTAATATTTTTCTATGTCTTAAAGATATTTTTAAGATAAAAGTTTTCTAAAAGTTTTCTTTTATAGAACATTTTTAGGGCATATAATAGGGATATATACTTATATATTATTTTACCGATTGCAATATTTTATTAATTAAATTTTTCTAAATTTATTATTTACTATATCTATATACAAATATACATTTAAAATTTCATTCAAATGAGAATTTTCCGACCTATAAGGTTTTCGTAGATAATTCTCTTCTTAGACAATCCCATTACAATATTTTCTGGATACAGATTACCAAGAGTTGGCGAAATACTAATATAAGGTAAGTCATCGAATAACAATCAATAATATAAATATAAAGTAAGCTATAGAAATATTATTAAAAGCTGCTGATTTCGGATGGCTTATAAATAGAAGATAATCGGAGACTACTTAGGAATAAGAAGAGAGAGTAACGTATATAAATATGTGTCTATGAAACATGTATGCAACATTTATTTTTCTTAATATTTTGATAATGTATTATTATTATTATTATTATTTTTTTAATTTTTATAAAGTGATATATCAAATATACTATTAAAAAATAAAAAATTTTCATATTAAAAACAATAGCCATCTTATCTAAATTTAACTTATTGACTTTTAAATCACAAATTTAACTTCTCAAATGTGAATGACAAAAAATATTGAAAGACAAAAAATTGTTCGTAATCTTCGTGAGCAGTGGTAATCCACTGAAGCTCAAAGAGCTTGTGATCATCGGTTGGTCTACTGGCAGATATTATAAAATGATCCAAAAGCATGCTTCATTGGAATATACTTTGAATGTTTCATGCTATCTGGAAAGTTTATCTCGTGTTTGAGAACGTCAATTATTTTAATATAATTGACTACACTTTTTCTTCTATTTTTGATTTGTTTAGTAGTACTAATCTCAAGTTGGTCCTCTTCAGTTGGTTTAATGATATCTTTTTTAGTTGTATTAATCTTGAGTTTGCGTGCTTTAATTGATTCAGTAATATTGATTTTGAGTTCGTTATCCATAAGAAATGGTCTGGTTATTGATTTTATTTCTTCTTTCATTTTTTTTATATTATTGATTGATTCAGTTGTAATTTTGGATTTATGATCTTTAGTTATATTAATCTTGGGTTTGTGATCTTTGTAATTAATCTTAAGTTTGTGATTTTGGGTTGATTTAATGGTATTGATTTTGGGTTCGTGATCCATGTAAGAAATGGGCTGATTACTTTCGATGAATGATTTCCCTCGTCGAGCAAAGGTATTTTTACTTTAGGAGGAACTTCCAAGTTTTCCTATGCATTTCTATCTTTGAGCTTTGATCTTTATGAGATTTGCTTTGAATTAACTTATTTTCTTCTTTTTCAATGATCTTCAGTGGAAGATTCGGTTGATAATCTGCGCATAAATAAAGATCGTTAGATGTTGAGGCATGAATATTCATGCGTTATCAAAACAGGAATCACCGGCAAGTTCAATACCTTTCTTATGTATACTCGCGATGATTGAGTCTTGTCACGAATATTGGGGAATATACTCCAAGTTAATCGAATTATTTGGTTCATTTTTTATGGATTGCCATTTGATATCCATTTCAGGCGCTTTTAAAATAAACTCCGGAATTCTATCGAGGTCTGCTAATTTTTGACCGGATTCGCCTTCGTCAGACTTATTTGCGCGTGAATGCTGGTATCCTATCTGAAGTTTTTCCTGAGAAGAAAGACACAGTAGAACATCCTTTCCAGGTATCACACAGATAGGCTGATGCCACTTCACGATTTCGATTACACGCGGCTGTTTCAAAGGAATTTTTCTTGTTGTCGAAGCGTCTTCAGAATAGTTTTGCTGGCTGTAATCAATTTCCCTGAATATAATGAACATTATTGCTAGGAATAACACAAACCGGAAAATATGTATAATACTGGTGACACGGTGAATGAGTGAAGTAAATCCTTCCTGTAAAATTTCTTGTTTAATGAAGAAGAAGTAACAGTGTTAACCATCTTTTCAATCTTTCAATCGCGAGACGCACCGTGCAAGAATCTATACATCTAAATATCTTTAGAGTATACGAAGATACTTTTATAGTTTGGTGAAGCCTCTGACGAGAAGTAATTTTTAAAAAAAAACTTTTAATTCAGAAATGAGACAGTAATTGTCTTGATGATATGAAAGTTTTTTGAAGAAACAATGGCTGTTTTCCTTTTAGGAAACACATTCGACATAAACATCGATTTATTCTTGATATTCAATGAATAACAAAAATAGAATGACATTGTCTTCTAAAAGTAATCAACATTACATAAAAAATGGACCGATAAATGAATAACACGATAAGTAAAAAAACATAAATAAAAAAAGAAATTTATATTTGGCCAAAGTAACTCTTGATGCTTAATATTCATATGTAAATTTTCAAATATTTTTTCAAAAATTTTTCAGTTTCATAAACTGCGCATTGATTTGGTTTGTTGGAGATTTTACAATATTTTAAAATGATTATTATTATTCACGGATTTACGATCAGTAATTTTATGATACTATTTTCAGCTTTAATTTATGATCGCATTTTAAGTTCAATAAACCGATTAATGACTTTTTTAACTAACTCGAAAAATAGTTATTAACGACAATTATTACTTCAGCATCCGAAAATTTCTTTCCAAATAGTCAAAGACAAATACGGTCAAATCTAGAAAATACGATGCATGTGTAATTAATTTATTATTTCAGTTTATATTTCGCCATCATTATTGATTTATTGATCGATCCAATTTCTTCTTATTGGCAAACTATCACTTAAAAAGACTGTCAGAAACAAACTAATCGCTAGAATGACAAAGAATATCAAATTTAGCTCTTCGTGTTTTTTTTCATTTCATCTATTGGACAAAAATTGAAATTTTACTGAAATCTTTTTATGATCAGGTCGGAAACTTTTCAATGTACTCTCGTATCTATACAGGCACATATGTACAGAATTTCATTCAAATGAGAATTTTCTGATCTATAAAGTTTTCCTTATTAGATGACCTCAAGCATCACAATAGATCACAATAGATTGCCAAGAGTTAACGAGATGCTAACTAACATAAGATAAGTCATCGAGCGACAATCAATAATATAAGGTCATCGAGATATTATTAAAAATCATTGATTTTGGATAAATTAAATAGAAGATAATCGAAGATTGTTGAAGAATAAGAAGAAATCGGTTAAACCGACGTAAATATTTATGAAATATTTATGAAATATCAGGATTATAAATCGTAAAATCGATAATTCTATTTCATGATAAAAAAATGAAAATTAAACAAGTCTCTTATCATATAAGAAAAGTAAGTCTTTTAAAATTAATGTCATCTATATTGGTTCGAATGTGGAGAATTAATATTAGAGACACATAATGTAATTGAATAGTCACTTGTATTTAGTTATCCGTGCATCAAACGAACAATGCGACTAAAACACAATGCAGCCCACATGACATACGAAGCTCCGATTGTATAATACGAAATGTTGAAATACGAAAGGACGCTCTTTCAATTAGAATGAAATTAATTCACGCGGATGAATTTCTTCCGCTTTTCTAATAACAATAATCATGGAAAGCGCTGTATAAATAACAATTATTATACTGAAGTACTGCGAAATTCATCTTCTTGATATAAATTAAATTTCATACAGCTCAAAGTAATATTTCATAACAATCGAACATGTTATGATAAATAGCGTTATTAGAGATAAAACGAAATATGTCGGAAATGTATAAATAAAATTACTATACAATAATTAATCAAACTTTTCGAGAAACTATTTTTTTTTTAATCATTCTCTTGATTAATTCTCTTGATTCGTACAGTCTTTTGTATCTTAAAATATTAGATACCTATTTCTACATAGTAAAAAATATTTTTTTTTATATTAAAATATTAGCTTTTTTATATAATATTTGTATTATTTTCTATATATTCATCTTGTATTAAATTATTGGGAGTACAAATTAATTCGGTCTGTTTTTTTGTGTTCAAAAATGCATTTATTTCAAAACAAAATGAATGAACAGATCAATTAAAGTATTGTCGCTGCCTACTATTTTTTCCCATCTCTCAGGCAATTTTCGAATTCCATCTCGAAAAAATGACTCGTTTTTGGAGATGATCCAATTTTGAAGCTAATTTTCGATTTCTGCGAAAGAAGTGAACCGGTAACTTGCTGTATCCTTCGGAATAACCAGTAATCAGAAGGAGCAATGTCCGGAGAATACGGCGAGTGCGGTAAAATATCCTATTTGAACGTTTCCAAATATTTTTTTACGACTTTAGTGACATGAGACTGAGCGTTGTCATGAAGAAGAATAATTTTATCATGTCTTTGCTCGTATTCCAGCCGTTTTTCTCGCAATGCACGGCTCAAACGAATCAATTGTAGCCGATACCGATCGCCCGTAATGGAATCGCCAGGTTTCAGCAGCTCATAGTAAACAAGACCTTAGGTACTAGATACAGAGCATGATCTTCGAACCATGAATGTTCAGCCGTGGTGTTGATGTTGAGATCGATGGCAATTGACCGGGCTTAGCGTAGTATTTTTTCTTCTTGTCGTAGAATATCCACTTCTGATCTCCAGTCAGAATTCGATGCAAAAAACTTTTTCTCTGTTGTCTTTGAATCAGCTGTTCGCAAGTGAAAAATCGCCTTTCAACGTCTCTCGGTTTCAGTTTATAAGGCTCCCAATTTCCTTGTTTTTGAATCATTCTCATGGCTCTCAATCATACAGAAATGGCTTGTTGAGTTATCCCCAATGATTCTGTAAGTTCCTCTTGCGTTTGACTCTAATCTTCTTTGAGTAATGCTTCTAATTCTTTGTCTTCGAATTTTTTTGGCTGCTCGAGCGAGGCTTGTCTTCAACGCTGAAATCTCCATCCTTGAAACGTTGAAACCATTCCCTACATGATTTATCAGTTGGAGCAGTGTCACCATAAACTTCGACAAGCATTCGATGGGCTTCAGCCACACTTTTCTTCTAATTAAAGCAGAAAATCAAAACTTCTCGCAAATGCTGCTTGATTAACACAATTAACAAAATTCGACATTTCAAACACAGTAAAAATCAAGGTTTTTGTATGAAACTCAAAGCGATATAAACTGAATATTATTAGAAGATGTTTAATCTCTCTGAAACCGCCAAAATCAGCTGTCACTATGAACTATTCACAACAACGGGAGCCATCTTTAGAGAAACGGACCGAACTAACAATAACAAAAATTTGTATATCTCGTTTGAGACACGTGAAATGTATTAAATTTGACATAAATTTTCCAACTACGTGTGTACGCTTTTAATACTGAATTTACTGCTATTGGTCATACCGTAAATATGAAAGAACACACACAAACGGACACACACCATTATAATATTTTTATTTTAACATATGCTGTCACGCGATGTATATTTGAGAAGACGCATGCAACAGTCGCGTGCAGTCCGCCGTTTACCGAGTCATTGTACTCTGGCACGCACTAATCGCTATTACATATGCACATTGCATTAAGGCAGGTCGCTGATGCACGTCGGCGAAGTACTTTCAAGTAGGAAGCAATTGACTCTTTTTTCATACGGAACGCGAATCTCTGAAAGCGAATCTTTCGCAGCGAAAGTCTACCGATTGCAGATTTCCGCGCCGAAGATTTCCATTACAAAATATTTATAAGTGTACTTAATAAGTGAACGGCAATGAAACTAGACTTTGTCGAACACATCTTTATCATGGGTTATGTTCAAGATTTCCATCCAAATGCCAACCATCATCATTTTACCCTTGTTGCCCGAATATTAAACAAAGATAGGATAAACAAGGACATGATACTTATAGGGAACACGTACATAGAAATCTCAATATAGGCCATGTAGGCGAAGAAAAAGTAATTGTTGTGTATTCTTTTACTGTTTTCACAATTATACATATAAACTGATTTTAGTTATAAGTTTAGTGTTCTATAGTATCGCTAGCATTTACACTTGTTATGATTTAAAATTCGTTATTCAATCATTTATCTTATTTTTGAAATTTTAAATAAAATTTATTTTTCACAAGTTGTTTTTATTATTTGATGAAAAGTTACTTGTTCAATAAGCGTATACCTATCAATATCTGTATTATAATTTGATAGAGGTAAATTTAATATATTATAAGTGCTAATATATTACTACATATTGTATAAATGCTAATATTATTAAAAAATATGCTTCAATGATTCGTTTTTAAATTGTGTCAAATGTTTTTTGTATTAATTTTTAATAATAATATAATGTTTGTATTACTTTTTAATATACTCATCCTGTATTAAATTAACACAAAAATTTGAGTAGATCCTTTGGGACATATAAAATGTATGAATTAATATAATGAATTAAATTAAATTTAATACAAATTTTCCAGTTGTAGGAACAATTATGTAAAATTAATGCAAAATAGAGCTCGACACTTTATTTTGTATTCTTTGATGTTTCTCGAAAAAAAAGTTCGATAGTTGCACAAATTGGAGCAAAAAGCTAGTGTGAAAGTCATTGAAGTGCTGTGGCAGATTTGATTTTACATAAAAACGCACGATAGTAAGGTTATTGCTGAGAATAATGATTCGCTTGCAATTTTATACGATGCGTGAGTCACAAAGTTACGGCACAAAAGGAATCCGCGCCGATCTGTAATAGATCGTTAATAATGATCACCTATTCTTTCTTTTATTAATTATTCGATAAATCATACCGATAATGAATCGGCATGCCGCTCATGTAGCCTTGAGTCACTGTCATAGTTCATTATAATAATCTGCGTTTTTTAAATTATTATTATTAATTGTCCTAAGGACAACAATTTGCTGTATCTTCCGCATACGTTAATGCATAATTGAATGTACTATGAGACCTTAATTTCAAAATTTCTATTAACATATCTAAATTACCTTTCACTTTATCTTATAATTTTATGATAATTTTTGTCAATCTGTTTATATTAGAAATAAATAAAATTCCTGTTATAATCAACATAAAACGCAATTTTTAAAATACTGGAATATATTAAGTACTATTGGATCTTTATTTGTATCTTATTTCTTTAGCTGAGCATTACAATAAATTTACTTATTATGGCTGTGAACTTTTGTGGCAGCCATGAATGCTGTAAAATTTGCTAGGCAAGTCTCTAAAAATGCGATTATCTAGCAGAGAAAGGTTCACTATTTCTATCTAATAGCTTATCTTTGACCAACTTATCGGAACATAACATATTCGAATCAACATCGCACGCCAATGATAAGAATCGCACGTCAAAAGGGCAATGACTCATAAAGCGGCGGGCAAAGCTAGTTTCCAGCTGGTACGTAAATACCCGCACATGTTCTCGTCAGGTGCACATGACAATGCAGGAACTTATTCGTTGGAATAAAATTTAAACAGGTAAAAATTTACAAAATACGATTTTTGAAAAAAAAATATTTTAAATAAAGAACAGATAATATAAGTAATATGTAGATAATAAGCAAATTTCTAATAAATTTCTGTAAAGCATGTGTGTTGTGACTTCTACAAATATTCTTGCAAATAAAAAATGTCAGAGTACAACAAAATAATATCTTTCGCCTGTCTTCGATATATGTGGAATGAAACTTTTGATGTGAATCATGAGGCATTTTAGAAGGGATATTATTCGAGAAATCGACGTAATTTTTGGAATACAAAGCTGCCGATTCTCTGAATACAGTTAAATCCCCATACATAACTGCTTTTCGCTCTAAGTGTTAAGTTCCGCTTAATTCTTATATGCGATCGCAAATTTTCTGACATAGCAAAGTGTATTACAGCCGGCGATGCTGTTGTAGATCCACGCTGCAGGAGGTAGTGACGTGTCAAGAGTGGGGGCGTCTAGCTGACTGGCCGCGCGGAGCGAAACTGTCTCGGCACGGCGTTTGCTTGCACGCCGTCGCTTTGACAGTGGTGTAACAACCTTCGTAAGAGTCGTGCCGTGTCGTGTCGTGCTGTAAATTATAAATAAAAAAAATACAGTCGACCGCCGCGGTATTTTCGAAAAATCAATCGCAGTACTTTTTAGACCAAATTCGCGGTTCTACCGCTAGTTCAAAAGTTCAACGAAGAGCTTACGACGCACCTTTCGGTTTCTCGTTTTTTTAAATATTAAGTAAACAGACGTTTTGATCTTGAAATTGAGAAGATAGTATTCAAAGTTTTCCTCTCAAATTTATCGCAAAAGCGTGACAAATCATCACGGACGTATTTTAAAGCCTTTCTTCGCGAGAGAAAAGCGCGCAGCCGAGCGGTAGATCGATTTGATCGATGGGACTGACAATTTTAAACACGCTCGCATACGTTTGAGTAAACATTTAGAGACAAGGTTGATCGTTGGCAGACACAAGGGAACCATTATTGCAATAGTCCACGAGCACGCTGTGTGTGGTCTGTGCGCGTGATAAAATTTTATCTGTTGTGACACGAAACTTTTTTGCGGCTACGAAGCGAAGATCGTCCTTTTCGGGAAGCTTGGTGGTTTCCTGTCCGGCCAAGGATACCGGAAGTGTACATTAAGTAACGAAGAAGAATGATGCATTTGACTGCTCGTGTACGGATCTAATCGTGTCTCATTTAATAACTCAATTGTAACAATGCTACGGTTCGTCTCGCTTCGTCTGAAGGTAAATCAATTTTTTTCTCTTCGTCTACATCATGCGCAAATATCGTGAGTTTGCTGTTTGGAACAAATATTTAAAGGTTATAGTTGGGACGTATGAAATTTGTGTGATTCAAAAGGAAGTATGATATAATTATTTGTGATAATGTAACACTCGATATAAATTATTGTATAAGCTTTAAGTATTTCATTTAAATAATTTTATAAGCTCATGAGATAATTATTTAATTATTTATGAAATAACTAATTATTATTTAATTGTTTTAATTATATAATTTAATTGTTTTATATATTTATCTATTTTCTTTATTTTATCAGGTTTTTATTTATTCTCAAAAATAACAAAAAGCATGTTCGTGCATTTTAAGATTATAAAATTTTGATTAACTAATGTAAATCTCGAAATGCGATTAAATAATTCTTTTGGAAATTTTATTGTTTTTGGAATTTATTTCCATGGATTCTCCGTTCTGTTGTGTGTTCGATTAAAAAATGGATTATGTTTTTATCGCTTAACTCCTAAGCCAACTTACTCTTAAGGAAGCCAAAAAATAACACCTTTTTATTTTGTGATAAATATTTTTAGAAAAGTAATATACAAATCGTAAATTAAACCTTGGATTAGCGATTACATTTATGTTACATCATTGTTACAATTATCATTGTTATTTTTATATAATAAAAAAGCCGCTATCATGTATGTATCACGATAAAAATCTTTCAATGCTATAAAGTAATAATAAATGCGAGTGATTCACGAACTTGAAATTGTACCCCTGAATAGTAATCGACAAGTTGCTCGATCATATAATTTTCGCTTGAACGATTCGCACACGATTTACTCGATGACGTATCGTTTCTCAGTTCCGCAATCTCTGCATATTCAACGATTTGCAGGATTTAATATGTATAACAGACCTTCGTGGAATTAATTTTCACATAGAGATAAATAAATCCTAATACATCACGCGAAGGATAAGACACGAAAATAAAAAACCTATTATATACTTGATACACGCGAAATTGTAAATTTCAGTCTTAAAATAACATAGTGATAAATGATAGAGATCTGATGTCTTCAAATTTCTTCTACTCGTTCTGTGGAAAATTTAAATTTAAAGAGAAAAATTTCTCATTGTCATTTTATTCTCGACTTTATTTAAAAAACTTCACACACATACCCACACACACACACACACACACACACACACACACACACACACACACACACACACACGCACGCACGTACGCACGCACGCACGCACACTTGCTTTTTTTAAGGGTGTATTACATATATTTCTCTTTAAACGAAATTTAAAAAATTACGAAAACATTACAAATTTTTCTATACATGTATTTCAAA